CGCAGGGTCTTGGAAAGTTACTGCAAAATTCGGCCCAGATCTGTCAATGGATTTAGAAGTGTATACAGGGAACAGACAGACAGACATTCTATTTTATATATGATATATATACACAAATTTTTTCCGGGAAATGAGCGTCTTGACTGATGGATTTATTAACATAATCGCTCTGTGCGTTCCGGAACGATTGCGATAAAACAAAGATTTTTCGATCTTTTTGTCCTGGCTTTGTAGCCGTTCCCGTGCCTGATTTTCTTCGCAATGTCACTTTTAACACGTTTCACGAGAATCACTCTCCTCGAGGACGTAATAGATGCGACGTAAGGCCTATAACACTCGAACCTTGGCCGTGCTAATAGATTGATTCGCTCGATAGTGTTCGCTCGCCGTTACGACCCGCAGCCACGCGCTACACTTGATCGGTACCATCACACCGTAATATGCAATGCTGCATATCGCTCGCGGCTTTCGACAGTTCCCAGCTCGACACGCGAATTATTCCGTTTCCGCGAAATCACTCACTGTTCACAACTGTGGCGACAATCGATCCTCTCTAGTGGCACACGTTGAAAAAGCTGATCCTGTCCGTTCGCACGAACGCGAATCACTTGTAAAGATGACTTGTAAAGATGAATGCTTTGTTTTCCAAAATGAAATTTTCACCGGAAGAGAGAGAATTACGACATTATATTATAAATCGCATATTATTAAATCTCTTGATCACCGTGCGAGAGATCGACATAATATCTCGGTAGATTCACGAGATCTTCTTTCATGATCACGGCGAAGTTGATGTGAGGTTCTCCAAGCCACAACGTGGAACCGAAATAAAGTACAATAAAAGATAAATAAAAAATTTTATTATTATTAACTTTATTATTAATTATTATTATTAAAAGTTATTATTATCATAAATTATTATTATTAAATTTCTTTTACGGAGTTAAGATAAGGCTTTCCCTCCTAAAATTATCAGAGACATTTCACCAGGAAGATGTACGTTTATCGACGACATGATATCTCCCGGGAACGTTTAACGTTATGCACGTGCAAAAACTCGCCACGTGGTGGTTGAGCTTCGCCTCACCTCGCCTTTTCTCTTTTCTCCTCTTCACTCCTCGCCTCGTGTCGCGTCGAGTCGGAGTGATATTCGTCGTCGTCGTCGTCGTCGTGGAAAAAGTATCATCGTTCCTGTGCGATGAGAGAAGAGAGAAAACGGGGTGCAGATCCGGTGGTGTCGCATTGCGGCGCAGGAGGCAAAAGTACCACCCGATGTACCGACCTCGAAAAGTACGACAGACGACGCACTCGAAACTCGAGCGAGGCCGTTAGAAAATCGAACGACGCCCCTGTAGAGCATCACGACCCGGAGAGAGAGGAAGAAGTGGGGAAGAGAGAGAGGGAGAGAAAGAGAGAGAAAACACAGTAGAGTGAGAGGGTGCGGAAGATTGTACATATAAAATTGTTCATGCAGCGAAAGGCTGAGATGGTGTGAATGATATCGGCATCGAGTCCCAAAGATAAGTGGCCGGGCGCCGTAAGTGTTCAGTCCGACCGAAAATTTCTAACGTTTCACTTTAAGTCGGACAAATGTAGCGTAAGACTATCCTTTCGTCGACAAAAGACTTGGACACTTAACATCGTGGATTACACATATGTGACGTGCGGTCGCTTATGAGATGACGAGATGTGCAAAGCGAAAAGTGAGAACGTACAAACCCCAAGGGGTTGCGATTAGATGTTACGTTTTTCCAGCAATTATAAAGAAGTAACGAGGCGACTTGGCTATCTTGAGAAGTATCGTGGGGGGCAATGTTTCCTTTAATTTTAATTAATAATACGTTGCATTAAATCATTATTTCTCTCTCTCTCTCTCTCTCTCTCTCTCTCTCTCTCTCTCTCTCTCTCTTTCTCTCTCCGACTCGCTCATTCTCTTCCTTGACGTCCGGATATCTGAGCAATCATGGAGTGGGAAACGAGCGGACGTCTGGGACGTGCAAAGAAGAGACGCCAGTATGGAAAGCCAAGGCGTAATTTCGGCGTCTTGTGAGTCGCGATTGTGCCACAAGTATTCCGCCACTAAAAATGCGTATTACTCTTGTTGTCGATCACGTGCCAAGGACGTGAAGCGTTCTGGAGCCGCGTTTTATATCGCGCTTTTTCCACCGTATCCGCATATCCGCCTCGGTCCTCTCGTGCTAAATCACGAAGAGAAGACGTTGCATTGTACCGCCGGTTAAGCGCTCCGCGACTCGCGATTCGTTAGCGACGCTGACGAACACTGCCAAGTCCCTTATTAATTACTAGACTTTCGCCGTAATTCCAAGATTTGCAAGGACTCCGTGACAAACCATCGCGCGTCTCACACACATTGGTCTTTACTTACTTTCATTTTTACTTCAATTTAATCCAATTTAATTTAATTTTAATTTTATTTACATTCAAATATTTTCATATTTTCATATTTTAGGACATTCAAATTTACTTTGCTTAATGCGTTTCAAAATAAGAATAATTAAATTAAATTGAATATTGCACGTAAATAATTCGATCGCAGGCAATAAACAATTTTCGACTGGTCGAAATCTCCTGGCGACTAAGCTGGCTAATTCTATTCTATGGGCAATTCTCGCAATCTCGAATATCGTTGAATGTCAATCGTTATTGTGTCACGCACGTCAAGATCCGCTTATGAGCGGGCTTGTTCGCGACAATATCCGATCATTAAGAATTTACAGCGCTTATGCATCCATTCTCGGTTCTCTATATCGTCGTAGAAGGAGAATCGAGTCGCGTATGCTCGGGCGTGGTGCTTTCGCGAAAGACGGAAGCGTTACGATCATTGACATTGTTCCACTGCTCTCTCCCTCTGACTTCCGTCCTCACGTTATCCCTGTAGAATCGATCGAAATCACTCCCATACTCCTGGTCCTCCTCCTCCTCCTCTCGGACAGCACATCTGCGACGTTGTAATTCTTCTCGCGTCTCCCGCGTTATCGCGGCGCTCCGTCCCCGGGAATTTTGGATTCCATCGCGCTGCAAATAGCAAATCGGCGGAATTATGTTCTGCATAATCTTGCGCTTTTATTTCCCTTTTATTTCTGGCGTTATTCCGCTCCTTCCCTTTTCGCTCCGCCATTATTTCGTGATCGATTTCCGCGATTGTACATGCTCTTACCACGGTGCGCCGGAAGAAACTTCTCGATAGTGATTACCATGTACCATGTACATGTACATACACAGAAGGATATATGCGTGTACCTTCCGTTAAATTACGCCGAAATTAAATGACCAAACCTGCGCCAAGAACGCAATTTTTGAAAGACACAGTATATCGCGAACAAGAAGGGCATCGCGAAGCGTTTCGCCGCGTCGCGACTCTAAGCGAATCATCGCGGGTCATCGCGAAACTTCCGCGAGGCGCCTTCAGGAGGTATCCTCTCACGAATCCTTGCGCATTATCATTGTGGATCCGTGCGAAGTACGGCAGCAAGTGATCCGGAGTCATTGCGAGCGATCGTGCCTCGTCGACAGCCGCCGTGAGGACGACGTGCAGCGACATAATCGCGCACACACATCAACCGCTACAGCGCGCGCAGCGGCGTGGCTACTCGACTGCGGAGAGGGTGTAGGTGTGGGTGGGTAGTGGCGATGGTGGCGGCGGTGGTGGCGGCGGCGGCAGTGGCGGTGGTGGCGGTGGCGGCGGCAGCAGCAGCAGCAGCAGCAGCAGCAGCAGCAGCAGCGGCGGCTGGCTACGGCGGAGGGATGTGCGGTGAAAGGCAGAAGGCAGACGGGCGGCAGACACCCTGTGCTTATCCCCACTTCGTGCCACCTCGGTCCGTGACTCACCAAACCGTTAAAGGATGAAGCCGCCCTGCTTTCACTCTACGCGCGCCACACACCCACATATACACACACACGCACACACGCAACACGCACACAGAACGCGCAGGTGCACATGTACAGTGCCCTGTGCAGATAGAGAAAAGGGCGAAAGAGAGGCGCGGGGAACGGTGCTTTCGAGTAAACGAGCGTTGAACGTCGTGCGTACACGTGTCTGTGTGCACCCGTATGTACAGGGTGGTTGCAAAGTGCAGAGAACTCGGTCTGCCGATGTTTGCGGAGATAATTTGCATTCGACGGGCTTCCTCTTATCTGGAGGGCGCGGAACGTATTAGAACACGAATTGATTTTAATCACTCAACATTGAGTGATTAAAACACGAAATTTTCTCTTCAGTCTCCCGTTTTGCAAATAGCGCTTTTTCGGGGTGTGATTGAGAGGATGAAGGACGTTGCGAAATATATAGGCCATCATGAAACCTCCACCCTCTCTCTGATTTCATCCCTTTGACACTGTGATAGCCCGGACAACGTCGGAGTAGAGTTTCAGCTAGTAACTATATGTTTACTCGCTTTCAATTTAGATTTAACTGTCTTGGGAGTGTAATGTAGGGTTGTGTGATCAGGAAGGCTTCTGTTTAATATTCATCAAAGATCACGTCGTTAAAATTGAAGTCGGACACTTCGAGACACCGTGTACACGAAGTCCGCCGCGTATTTTCTAGCACATAGCAGACGGGAAAAGGGGCAAAACGAGCGGAGTCTGGAACGCCTGGAAAAATCTACTCTGTCCATGCGGTCACGACATTTTTATCGTGAACACGCCGGAAATTAACGGTTACATACGCTGCGCGCATACGTTGCCACGTGTTCCTTTTGTCGGAGATAATATTTATTTAAACGGAAGCATTCGCGCAATTTTATTTCATTCGCGATTTACCAAGGACGTAAACGCCTGTCTCTTCTGTTTTAATTTCATGTTTGCGGTACTACAAATTTATGACTCGCGATCTAGAATGTGCAATGACGCGAGGACAGGATAATCGACGTAAAGTCGTATGAGCCGTCGCCAATTGCGCGATTAATTAAATGAAAGCTCGATATTTAACTTTCTCGTTTTTTTTTTTTTTTGTTAAATGCATACGTGTATTGTTGCAGGGCACACGTTAAACGGTCAGCCGTTGCTGGAATTCCCGATGTCGAGCAGCGGACCGGCATTGGAACCCCTGAGAATCAAAAGGGCCACCCTTTGGGCGAGAGTGGAGCTCAAGCACGCCCATCACTATCATCGTCACAGCCAGATCAACCAAAGGAACATCACCCTCTGGGTGTTCAGAGTGCACTGCGGTAATACGACGCATCTCCGGGGCAAGGTAATCCGCTCGATGATCGATTATTTTGCACTTAAAAAGAGAATAAATCTTTCTTTTGAGTACATGATAAAAAATGAGTTTTTATAAAATTTTTTATAAAATTGTAAGAAGTATAAGAAGATCAAGAAAATATATTTTCTGTTGAAGATAACTATTACTTAAAAGAAGAAAAGTAAACATTATTTTTCTTAACAGTAAAATGATACTTTTCTCTGTATGTAGTTCTTCATCAGTTCCTGACGTATTAGGAAAATTCTGTTCATGACGAGTGATTCGATCGTCGGTCGATTCTGTTTCGCAGGAGCTTGGGCAACACATGGAAATGGTGACATCTCTCGTGGCGAATGTCGGCCAGCTCGGCTGGCAGAAATTCGACGTGACGAGAGTCGTGAGCAGTTGGTACACAGCGAGTTACTCGAAGGATAAGCTGACGTTGCTCGTCGATTGCAGCGGGTGCGGCTCGCACGTCCACGTATCGACCTTCGAGGAGCATACGCGGCACATGATCGAGTCGTCTTTAAATCCGACGGGTAATCCTCGAGAACTCCTCGATGCTTAGCGGCTTGACAGAGCTTAACGGATTAAAGCACCGCGTTGAGGTCTTCAATCGTCGCAAACTCGCGTGAAAATTCTTACGATTCAGATGAACGATTAATCCGAGAGGCCGTTTCATAATTGCTTACTGAGAACTGGTAGAATATGCGCGACGTTTTAATTACATTGCAATTTCGATCGAGCTGATGAAGGAACCTCGATCGCAAATTCAGTCGGCTGCGTCGTTAATAACAATTAATGGTCCGACGTGACCGGTCGAACGAGTAGAACTGCACGAGTGTCGACGAGTCCTCATGTTTCATCTCTCGGTCGAGAAATTCGATAATTCGAGTTTCGAAGTTGACGCTACCCAAGTAGAGCAGGAAGTCACAATAACGTCAAAATGAACGGAGAAAATGATGGAATCGTGATTGGAAAGTGAGTTTCATAGCCATTTTCTCATCATTTTGACGTATTCGTGATTTCTGGTTTTGCCTGGGTGGTCGCAACCCGTTGTGGCGTTTTGCAACCCTTCCCCGAAGTATACAGGAATATCTCGTTTCAGGCAATCACGATTCGAACAGGCCGTTTCTAGTCGTGCGTACAGACCCGGCGGCTGCAAAACGCGTAAGGAGACGGGCGATCGAGTGCAACGGCGCGATCAAGGGCCAGTGCTGCAAGCAGAGGTTCTATGTGAGCTTCTCTCAGCTGGGATGGGACGATTGGATAATCGCTCCTCAAGGGTAAATCAGCCGCACAATCATATTACGATTTAACGTGCATTCCTTTTTACAAGGAAAATCTCAGATATTTGGTGAGTTTTACACTTAACGGTGGATTTCCAACAGATACTACGCCAATTACTGCAGAGGAGACTGCGCCGCCGGTCACAGGACGCCGGATACGTTCCTCAACTATTACACCCACGTGATCGAGGAGTATCGAAAGATGGACCGGCTGGCCGGTATGCAGCCGTGCTGTGCGCCCCTCAAGTTCTCGCCTATGTCGCTTATCTACTACGGCCCAGACTCGAACATCATCAAGAGGGATTTACCAAAAATGGTGGTGGACGAGTGCGGCTGCCCCTAGGCGCGCGTTAGGTGGACGACGTGGAGGATGATCGTAGAGCGAGAATGCGCTCGCTTCGCGACGAAGTGGAAGTAATCGCGAAGGCTTGCCGCCGAAAGTGGCAATCGCCGCAACCTTCGGGCTCGGCCCGGCGAATCGGTCCAGATAACCGTCCGAATTCTGCGATCTGGTGAGACTCGTCTCGCGCGAAACGGAATGCGGCGACGCGCCGGAAACCGATCGAGCGCAGGGTGGTTGGTACCTACCCCGAGGACGACCGCCCGCCCGAAGTGAACCGGTAGTCGTGCGAGACTGCTCGGTGTGATTCCGCTGAAACAAATTACTCGCCACGCTGACAATGTGACCGCACAATGCGGTGCGATCCGCGCCGGCGATAGTCCCTGTTCG